ACTTTTCATGCCCAGTGCAAATGTCGAGGTTTTCAGAAAAACTACACCGAAGCGATAGACAAGTACAGAGAGGCACTTGGTCGTCTTGATACGTTGATTTTGAGAGAAAAACCGGGTGAACCTGAATGGGAGGAATTGGATCGAAAGGTATGTTCAGTTTCATTTTTGATCTGATACCCGTTGCGGAGGTTTGTTGCTAAAATATTTTTTCTAGAATGTCTCACTGTATTCGAATCTATCCCAATGTTACCTGAACGTCGGCAACATGTATGAAGCCGCTGAGACAGCATCCGAGGTACGGATGAATTTTTTTCGACCTTGTTTTATCCTTCGATTCTTTGGATAGTGGGGGTAAGGGTGTAGAATGCTACCTCCACTCACGGGGAGACGCACAAGCTGGTAGAGTGTTCCGTAGTTACAGTTCGTGTCGTGTGGAGGGGAGGGGGGGGGAGGGAGGACTGCGCCGACCCAGATGGAACGATTTCTGTCACTGGTTATGTTCTACTTGAATCAGCTACTGGTTGAAGACGGCACTTCGCGCCGTCTTCATAGCATTCCACGCCTCCTGACACCGTCGCCTATCACAAAGTGGACGTAGCTAGCACATCTCGGGAATGCTCCTGAAGCTATAGGGGAACCTTGAGAACGCTGACACAAACAAAAAAGGCTGACAATATTTAGCGTACCAGCTAAAAGCACTGATCCGGCATCCCAGTTCTAGAACGCGGGAGAAGTAAAGACACATCCGCGATTACAAATTTTGGGGTTGGTTCCCTGATGCTGGTTCACTCATGAAGAAAGAGGAAAAATAGAAATTCTTAGTGTAGGGAGGCAATGGAAATGAGTAATTACGACTGCGTGATGCTCACTCATTTGCTTTATTTTCAGTTTAATACTGTTTTAGGTTCTATCCCGGGATCCTGATAACGAGAAAGCGCTTTACCGAAGGGCAAAGGCACGGATTGGTTGTTGGCAACTTGATGAGGTATGATGATGATGAATATTCACCTTGTTTGCTTTTATCACCTTGTTGTTGTTTACTTTTTTGCTTACAATATTGCGCAGAACATTATCCCATTTGCTGTCTACATCATCGCCTCTTACCTAAAGCGGGCGCGGCGAATTAAAGGCGGAGTGTGAAAGGCTGGTGGAAGCGGCTTTGGTGACACTTTGCAC